CAATGTCAGGAGAGGTCTGAGACAAGGCCGAGACAAGGACAACATCGGACCAGGCCAAACCAGGGATCTCTGAGATCCGGCGGCTCTGGAGGAACCATCGGGCGGCGCGGCCTTCTCAGAGAGTTCTGGAACGCCCTGGGAGCGGCCCCGAACGCTCTAGAACGATTTATCCTTGCCCCAGCCCAACCCAAAAGCAGTCCATGCACGACGACAGCATGACTGCCCGGCTGCCAGAGGGCGTGGGCAAAGCCCCTCCACCCTCCCACCCCCCGAGTTCCAGTCTTAGAGGCCTCCTGGATGGGGTCCGAGTAGAAGGGGTCAGAGGATCTCGCCGCATCGGCGATGCATCGCCGATGCATCTCCGATGCACCGGCGACGTCGGCGATGCACCGGCGACGCCGACGCGAAGCAAATCGGGCTGCAGATCGAGCCGCCTCGCCGATGCACCGGCTCTGCGGTGGGATCCTCCGACCCCATCTACTCCGACCCCATCTACGAGGCCCAGAAGATTGGCACAACCTCCGGGCCGAATCGGAGTAGGGCGGCCTGACCCGGCGGAGCGTTCGGAGGCTCTCGCCAGGCTGACCTCCGGGGGAGGAGCCAGGGGGGTGCAGGGACGGGTTTTGGCCAAGCGGGTCGGGGCAGTAGAAGGGGAGGAGGGGGGCGGGGGGTGGGGGGGGCGGCGACCATCGAATGAGGCATTGGCATCCTTTTTTGTTGTTTTGGTTCTGCGTGCTTCGCTTCCTGCCTGAGTTCGTCGACCTCGCAGCTGTCCGCGCAGCAGAAGAGGACCGTGCACCAGAGCAATGGCAGGTTTCCCAGAGCGGGAGGATAAGCGCGATGCAGCCCCCCCACCCCTCCCCAGACCCCGAGTTCGCCCCCCTCTCAGTGGGGAGGGGGGGGGGGGGGGACGATCTGGGTTATCCTGGAGGTTCCCTGGAGGGGGGGGAGGGCCTTCGACTCCTGCGATCTCTCCTGGAGGCTCTCCCACTGAGGGCTTCTCGAGAGGGGCAGGAGGGCGACCGAGAAACAGGGGGATGCCTTCCGAGAGAGCCGCCACCACACCCCCTCTTCCGAGGCAACTCTTGGGAGACTCCCAGACCCTCTCTGAAAGGGCCCAGGGACACCCAAATGAATAGACACGAATCCTTTTATCATATTTCCTATATGTTCGGGGTGTTCGTATTCCCCCCACTCCCCACACTTTCCCACATTCTCCTGGGAATGGACAAATAATTGTGTCTGTGTTTTTGTTTCCCCATCCTGACTCTCGTCGGCTCTTGCGAATCGACGCTGATCGACACTTCATCGACGCTAGTCGACGCGAGATCGACGCCAACCGACGCTGACCGAGGCTAAATCGGCGCTACCTCATCGCCTCGCAGGCGCTGACCGACGCTACCCAACGCTGAAGACTGCATTACACGGGTACAAACAAGGCTCCCATGATTTGCGGCCGAACCCCTCTCTGCGCGCACACGGGGCGCACCGCCAGGAACATCCGCATCCACAGCCGCTGGGCCCCTGCCCTGGCTCCCCTGGGGCCTCTGTGGATGCGGATGCCCTCCCCTCTCGCCCAATAGGGGCCGGCATCCGCATCCCACTCCCGCCGCCCAAAGAGAGGTAGTCGAGATCCTGGGGCACGACTCCGAGGACGTGGACATACCCAGACCCCCGACGTCATGACTCTTCAGACCTTCGACCCCCAAGATATCTCGCTCCCTTCCCCAGGACAGGCTCTGCATCCCAACTCGGCCCCTGAAGGCCCCAAGGCCCAGCGAGGGCCCAGACCCCCGACGTCATGATTTTTCACAGCCTCGACCCCCAAGAGGTCTCGACCCCTTCCCCAGGGCTCCTCCTCCTCCTCCACCTCCTCCTCCTCCTCTTCCTCCTCCATTCCTTCTCCTTATGAATAACTTCTCCCTGTCGCACCCCGAGGCTAGTTTGTAGGGCGGTCCCGGCGTTTCGCCTGAGACCGCCTCACCATGTATGACTCTGAAGCTTACAAGATGGCAACGGCTTCACAGATGGAGGGTGGGTCGTTTTCAAAATGTGGCTCTCGCCTTAGCGCCGTGCGCATTTGTTTGACAAATTGCAAGGGTTTGACGGATTGAAGGCGGGTCGTTTTCAAGATGTGGCTCGCGCCTCAGCGCGGCGCACATTCGTTTTACAACAAATAGCAAGAGCTTTTTGGATTGAGGGCGGGTCGTCTTCAAAATGTGGCTCTCGCCTCAGCGCCATGCACATTCGCCTTCAACGTTGGCAAGAGCTTCTCGGATTGAGGGCGGTTCCTTTTCAAAATGTGGCTCTCGCCTTAGCGCCGCGCACATTCGTTTTCAAATTTGCAAGAGTTTCACTGCTTCACATAATCTGCGTACCACAAATGATATTTTAAAGACTCAGGACTTATGCGGGTGCAACAGTTACGCTGATTCGCTGCGTTGAAGTCCCAAGAATGGCGTTCTGGCACGATTCAGGATCGTCAAGACGCAACAGTTAGGTTCATCCGTGGCGTTGGAATCCCGAGCACAATGTTTTGGCATGCTTCAGGGTCTTCAATCGGATGTCTTCGAACGAGGCAGTTCCCCCAATGGAAATGAACCGTTGTAGGGGCCTATGAAGAAGGAGCTTGGAGGGAGGGTTGATTTCAACATCGTTGGTGACTCTTGGGTTTGCACTGGTCCTCCTCCTCCTCCTCCTCCTCCTCCTCCTCCTCCTACTCCTCCGCCTCCTCCTCCTCCCAGGCTTCTCATCCCCACTCGTTCTTCTCATAACCCTCAAGGGCCCAGCGAGGGCCCAGAGGCCGCAAGCGGCGACAAAAGAACTCCCCTCGGGTTTTTCTCTGAAGTGGCCCCCTTGGACACACAAACACATGGACACAAATCCCAGGATTCCCCATGTTTGGGCGTACCTTCGAGACTTCCGTTTCCCCCCCACACTTCCCAGATTGTCCCCTCCTCTCCTGGGGATCGACGACTCATGATGTCTGTGTGCTTTTTTCCCCTCCCGATTTTCTCGCGACGCGAGGGGGCCTGGGCACGCCCCGGCGATGGGCAAACCGAGGCCTCCCACATGCGGTCCACGCAGAGGGCCTCGGAGGATCGCGCCGCATCGGCGACGCCGGCGTGGAACAAATCGGGCTCCACGTCGCGCCACATCGCCGATGCATCGGCGATGCATCGGTAGGTGCGGTGCGATCCTCCGACCCATCTGGGAGGCCTCAAGCAAGGGCCTAACGCCCGTGACCGGCCCCGACCCCCTCCCCTCGGCGTAGGCTCGAGCCGCCCAAAGCTCGGCTCGCCTGCGGCTCGAGCCGCCTGGCTCGATCTGCCCAGGCTCAGTTCGCCCAGGCTCCGTTCGCCCGAGTCTCGATTCGCCCGAGTTTCGATCCGCCCAGGAGGAGGAGGAGGAGAAGGAGGAGGAGGAGGAGGAGAGGGCTCGAGTCGCAGGCTCGACTCGTCGCCCGGGCTCGGTGCGCCTTGCACGAGTCGCCTGGCTCGCTTCGCCCGGCTCTGGCCCTTTATGAGGGCGGTGGGCGCCCGCCCGACCCGGCCCGCCCGTCGGGATCCCCCCGCCTGATCCGCCCCGCCCGTCAGGGTCCGCGCGTGCTGCCTCAATCACGCATCATACTTGCACGTCCCGCCCGCCCGACCCGACCCGCCCGTTTGGGTCCGCCCGACCCGACCCACCCGCCAGGGTCCGCGCGCCAGGCGAAGCGGGCCCTGGCGAAACGAAAACGAGCCCCGGCGAACTGAGCAGGGCGGACCGAGCTCCAGCGAACCGAGTCTCGGCGAACCCGGCTGGGCAAACCGAGTCGGGCGAGCCAAGCCCCAGCGAGCCGAGCCCCGGCAAACCAAGCCCCGGCGAACCGAGCCCCTGCGGACCGAGACTCCGACGAACCGAGTCCGTGCCCTCCCCTCCTCCTCCTCCTCCTCCTCCTCCTCCTCCTCCTCCTCTCCTCCTCCTCCTCCTCCTCCTCTCCTCCTCCTCCTCCTCCTCCTCCTCCTCCTCCTCTTCATGCCCCTGTACCTCCTCCTCCTCCTCCTCCTCCTCCTCCTCCTCCTGGTCCTGCCCCGTGTGGGAATTCGCCACCCGCAAACATCCCCTGAAGACGCCAGCGCGAATCGCGACGTGACTGGCCCCCTCCGTCCGCCCGTTATCACCAGGGGATTTACAGACGATCTCGATGCGGCGCGATCATCCGACTCATCGGGAGGCCTAGAGCAAAGGCCTAGACAAAATAGGGCGACAAGGTTGTACAGATACGCTGTCCCTAGGATGGGCCTGGCCTGGGGCAGGGTATATGTACAGACCGCGTCGCCCTAAGCACATCCGTGCCGCATCCTGGTCGAACGCATCGAATCCAAGTCGAATCCACGTCGAGTGCCACGTCGGAGTGCAAGAACAGACTGAAATCTACGGGCAAGGTCCCCCGGAGATGCAAAGTAAGAGCAGAGGCCTTTAGCAGAGGGGCCCATCCTGGGCCGAGGATCGGCGAATATGCCATCCTGGCTTGGCCCGGGAGGCAATGACACCGTCCTGGGCCCAGGATGGGCCTGGCCTGAGACAGTCCTCAGCAGCCAGAGTCGGTAAGACGTAAGACTCGGATTCGGGGGACCCGGGTGGTTCTGACGGTACCGCTAGGAAAATGACGAGGCCAAATCTGAAATCAGACGCGAGCTACCGCTGCAAGCATGCCACGAAAACTGGACCGTCTAAAACCAAGCCAGAACCGTCGAAATATGTCGGCAAACCCGAGTCCTGACGAACTCGGGTCCTTGCGTTTCCCCGATAGAGGAATCGACGCTAATTGACGCAAATCGACGCGAATTGGTGCTAAATCGACGCGGATCGACCCGCATCGGCGCTAGTGGACGCTAAACCGGCGCGATCTCATGGATGACCAGAAGCTGACCGACGCCAGTGCGTTTTAAAGACGGAACAGCGAGTGCACACGAGGCCCCCAGGCTCTGCCACCGAACCCGACCGAGCAGAGGGGCCTGCCAAGCAGCTCATCCCGCCGCGCCGACTGCAGCACCGCCCGGGCCACCGCCGCGTGCGGCGCCTCCCCGGGCAGCACCGCGCCCGCGGGCACCTGCAGGAGCGGCTCCTCTCCAGGGGCCAGTCACCCAGGGACCCTGCTGTTTGACTGACGCTTGCCGTCGGTCCAATTGGACGGTCCAATTGCAGGGCGCGTTCGGAAAGACAAGGGAGGAGGAGTACGGTTGGCGTCGCAAGAACAGCGCGCAACGCCGAGCTCCGACAAGCCCGCCATTCCCAGAAAGAGAGCTTGCTACGTGCACGCTCTCCCTGTGAGGCGGTCCCCCTGCGAGGGCACCTTCTGCGCGAGCCATCCCCTTGCCAGGGCTTCTTCAGCGCACGCCATCCCCAGGGTGGGGGATAGCGCCACATCGCACACCATCTTTGCAACGCCAGCCGTAAGAGGAGGAGGATACCGAGGACGGACGAAGGTGAAAAGTGATGTCTTCTCTCACGCGCTTATTTGGGCCCCCCGCGGGGGCGCCGAGCCCCGGACTCGCCTCGCTCTGGCTGGGCGCCTTGGCATGATAGAAATGCGGACCCTTTCGCTCCCACGCTCGGAGAGAAGTGGAGCCGCTAACATCCTGCCCCATCCAAACCCCATAGATTATAAGTTGCGCGTGGAAGCGTCCAGGGTCGCTCGCTCCGTCGTAGAAGCGACTCGAGCTCAAGAAGCGGTAATTTTGATTATTGCCGGACAGTCTGAAGCACAATCTTCGACGAGGTCACATTGGATATTCCTGGCTGGCCCCAGAGCGGCACCAGGAGGCCGCAGCCGGGAGGGAAAATAAACGTCAGGATCGAGCAAATCGCGCCGCCGGAGGCCCTGGGTGTCACGGTCTCGTTCACGGGCGCTCTGAAAAACCAGGACACTGGCACGCCCCACGAAACTGCAGCACTAACAGAAACTCTCCAGAATTTGTCACCTCCCGATGCTTTTTGGCCGTGCCCTGGTTTGCAAAGTCCCAGTGTCCAGGGTTCTCCATGTGGACGGGCCTGGCCGGGTCAAGGCTGGCGGTAGCGCCCTCGCTTTGTGCTAGGGGCAACGATGAGGGGGGGACTAGCTCAGAGAGGGAAACATCGCACTGGAATCGGCGATACATCGCCGATGGATCGGCGTTCCTGGGCTCGGGGGGGGCCAGGCCCCTATCGGCGATGAATGTCCCCCCAATGATCCTCCTGGTCCGGCTTTCGGACCACAACTCGGGCGGCCGCAGGCCGCTCGGGACGTTCTCCGTGCACCCGCGGACGCCTTTCAGCGAACCGCGGCTGGAAAACCGCACAGGACCGACGCAAACGCACGCAGACCTCGAGCCTTGCACTTCGGAGCCGGCCGTCGTCCCCTCGGCCTGGGCCCGTTCCCCCCCCCCCCCACTGACGTTGCCCCTGAGCTCTGTGCACGCCCGGCTCCTCCGCCATCACCACGCCTCCTGCGGCCACGCGGCGCGTGCAGAAGACGCCGCGCCCGCCGCCGACGCCGGCGGCCCGGCAGGCCACCGGCCCGCTCAGGAGGGGCGCGGGTGCCGCAGCCATGGCGGCGAGCGCTGGCGCCGCCGCGGCCGCGGGCGGCGGCGGCTACACGCAAGAGCGGCCCCGTGTGAGAGTGACCCTACGATGCACGGCTTTGGTGGGCCGCTTGGGAGGGAGGGGCAAATCCAGGCTGTTGATGGCGCTGATGGTGGTGGCGATGGTACTGGTAATGACGACGATGGTGGTGGTGATGGTGGTGGTGGTGATGATGACAGTGTGGTGGTGATGATGATGATGGTTATGGTAGCGATGGTGATGATAATGATAACGATGATCGTGATGACAATGATGATGGTGATGGTGATGGTGATGGTGGTGGTAATGCTACTGATAGTGATTATAATGATGATGACGGTGATGGTGGTGGTGATGATAGTGATGATGATGGTGGTGGTGTTGATGATCGTAATGGTGATGTTGGTCGAACAGCATAAATTAGAATAGTGATACGAATGATAAGACTAGAACTAATGATGTTCAGACACGAATAAGAATGCGAATACTAAAAAGTGTAACAACAGTTGTAATGATATCAGCAATAAAATAATGCTATAGTGGTGATGATGAACGGTGACGATGACGATAACAATAACAGTAAACAATGATAGCAGGTCCCCAAACAGTGATTGTACTTATGGGCCATCTTATGGGCTTCGTATACCTGGTCCAAAGAACTGGGTCTGTGTGTCGTTTGGGCGGTTCCGTGCCGGCCGTCGCCGCCCTGTCGCCACCTCATCGCCGCCCGTCGCATGGGCTTGTGTGTCGGTCTGGCGGTTCCGTGCTGGCGGTCGCCGCCCCGTCGCAGGCTCGTCGCCGCCCATAGTTTTGGCAACGTAGATTCTCCTTTCTTACAAGGAATTAGATTGTAACCCCATCCCCGCGGATGATCCGATCTTTTTTTGTACAGAAATTTACATATGGCCCTACCTCCTCGCTCATTTCCAATATGAAAGCACACCATCCCACCCAGGCCGGTACCGACTGGCCCTGTCATGACTTGAGAGAAACGCTATGCGAGCACACTCGCATATCAAAAACCATCGATTTGCAAGAACCCCTCCCAGAAAAATGGGACGACGTGCACACGCGCGCGTCGTCGCGCGCGCATGCCGAACTCGCTCAAAAGCCGTAGGTTTCGTAGGGATTTCAACGGAAGGCAGGCAAGCAGGCAGGCAGGCAGGCAGGCAGGCAGGCAGACAGGCAGGCAGGCAGACACACACACACACACACACACACCGACACGCAGACAGACTGGCAGAGAGACAGACAGACAGACAGACAGACAGAACGACGGACAGGCAGACAAACAGACAGATAGACAGGCACACAGACAGAGTGAGAAGGACGTGCGAGCACGAGCAGGGGGATGTGCATGATGGACACAAGGATGAGATAAGGCAGGACGGGGGAGGCTGGGTAATGGACCAGGAGCAGGAAGAGGAAAGAATGAGCCTAGAGGAACCAGAACCGACGCAAGTATCAAGTCGCGCGCCAATCCAGGAAGTCCGAACGGACCTCCGAACGCCAAGCGTGGATAGCGTGCCGCGCCGAGGCGCAGGGGGGGCCAAGGCCAGCGGAGCGACACGCGACCCAAAAGTTCCCAAACCATACGGTAGTGCCGATCTCTCTCGGTAGTCCTCAGAGAGCGTGTTAGCGCCAACACGTGCTTGTCCACCGAAGCCCTCCGATACGACGTAGGCGACGCAGCGAGGGCCAACGAACGCCAGGTGCGATCAGTGGGGCTGAGTGGGGTCGCACACGCACGCACACACACACTCTAAGGCGGCGACGCACGGGAACCTCAGGCGCGGTCGGCAGATGGAGGTGTCAACTGCGAACGAACTTAGTCGAACGCGCCGTGATGAAAGAAACCAGCCACGGCCATGCAGATTGCTGGTGGTGGTAGTGAAAAGCTAAGGCACTGCAAAGTTACAGTGCAGCGGCCAAGCATCCCGCGGAGCGTAGCTCGACGCCAGGAGTTGAAGCGCAAGGGTAACACACACACACACACACACACACACGCACACACGCACGCACGCACACACACACACACACACACACACACACACACACACACACACGCACGCACGCACGCACGCACGCACGCACGCACACACGCACGCACACGTACATACGCACACACACACACACGCACAACAACAACAACAACAACAACAACAACAACAACAACAACAACAACAACAACACCACCACCACCACCAACAACAACAACCACCACAACAACAACTACAACAACAGCAACAGCTGCAACAGCAACAGCAACATAACTCGCGTCCTGGGGATCCCCAACTCTCTTCTTCCACGGGAGCCGCAGGAAGAACCCCGAAGGGGGAGGCTCGGCGCGTTTCGCCGCTCTGCGACGGGGGCGCACCGGGGGCCCCGAAGGGGGGCCCCTCGGAGCTCCCCGCCGACCCGCTGGAGGCCCCGCGGAGCGCGCGGAGCCAGGCAGGGCCGCGCCGATCTCCCAGAGCCCACGGCTGGCGTCGTAGAGGCAGCCTTAGGTCGGGCATGTCCTCGGACAGGCGGATTTTGGAAGACTAGTTGATGTAGTCACTGTCTAGGTCACAAAAGCCCGAAGCTTCGTCACCAGGCTATGTGTTGACTACTCTTGATTGTTCCTCCTGTAGATGAACATGCCCGACTTGAATACAGCGTGCGGCACCTCTCCGGGCAGCGACGCGCCCGCGGGCGCCAAGCAAGAGCGGCCCCTCTCCAGGGCCAGGCCATGCTGGGGCCCTCCTGTTGGACGGACGCCTGCCGTCGACCCACCTGGAGTGTCCGATTGGATGGGCGCTTTCTGTGGAACAGAAAACGCAATAAACAGAAACGTTCGGCGCTCCGCGCGGATTTCTTGGACCTGCGCTGGACCCCCCTCCTCCCTGGCGCGCGGAGCGCGCCGGGGGCGGCGCCGGAGGCGCCGCCAGGAGGGCCCAGCGCAGATCCAAGAAAGACGCGCGGAGCGCCGAACGTTTAGTGTTTGTGGCGAGTTTTCTCCGAGTTTTCGGAAGGACAGGGGAGGAGGAGTACGGTTGGCGTCGCAAGGATACACGTCGTTCATGTTTAGTCGTGCTCGTTCCTGATTCTGCTCGTTTCTGCTTGCTCCTGGCCCCCTGGTGGCCAGAAAGAGGCCCAGGATAGCACGCTCAGACATGAAGGGACCTTGGCCACCCCAAAAGATATCAGAGGACTCTCGAAGCATTATAGAGGTGAGCAGTGTGCACGGCGGGCGTCGCGAGGACAGCGCGCGGCACCGACCTCCGCGGAGGCGCGCCGTGCGCGCGGTCCCCGCGGGGAGGCGCCCCCGCGAGGGGCCCCCCCTCTGCGCGCTCGCCTCCTGCCCCTGCCCAGGGGGCCTCGTCGGGCGCACGCTGCCCCGGAGGCGGGGGGGGGGCAGGGCGTCCTCCTGCAAGCGGATGTTGGCGGAGGTTCGAAAACATGTGTTTAAGACTCGAGAAAAACTACTCAAACACACAAGCAACACGCGCTCGAAAAATCGTCCCCTGATTATTTTTCTACCATGTGGGATGTTCCTCCTGTAGAAGGACACGCCCGACTCAGCCCCCCAAGGTGGGAGGCGGGGGACAGCGAATCATGAGCGTGCTGGCGGCGCCACATCGCACGTCATCCTTCCAACGCCAACCCCATGCTTGTGCTGACGCCTCTCCTCGGGGCAAGGGGCGCCCAGGGGCGGCAGGAGAAGGCGCCGACAGACGATGGGGAGGAGGCTGAGGAGGAGGAGGAGGAGGAGGAGGAGGAGGAGGAGGAGCACGTAGCATGATGGGGAGGGGTCGAGAAGAGGAGGAGGAGGAGGAGGAGGAGGAGGAGGAGGAGGAGGAGGAGGAGGAGGAGGAGGAGGAGGAGGAGGAGGAGGAGGAGGAGGGGGAGGGGGGGGCCATCGGCGCCCTCTCGCGATCCCCGCGGCGCCCCGACGCGCGCCCGGGCCCTCCCGGCCAGGAGCTTCGAGAGGCACAGCATGACGAGCTCGTCCCCCTCCTCTGCATGCCCCGCGGGGGGCCGCTGGAGGGGCAGGGCGAGTTGAAAGCACTAAAACAGCAACACCACCACCACCACCACCACCACCACCACCACCACCACCTACAACAACAACAACAACAACAACAACAACAACAACAACAACAACAATCATTTAAGACTGGGGACACTCCGTTCTCACCAGTGCCAGGGTTTTCATAGGAGGCGGGCAATACCCCCACTTTGTGGGGGGGCCGGTTCAAGCTCTACCAAATTTCCAAACGACTCTTCGCCACCACCCACACCCAGCTTCCCGCCCTATGACGTTCGGACACTTCACTTCGTGGCCTGCGGACGACCTTGGCTACTACACTGGCGCATGGGTACAGTGACTTGTTGTGGTAACATTTTGTGGAAGCTAGCTTAGTATACGACTTTTCCCCCTGTTCCAACACTGGACACCTGTACTGGTTTTTCGTGGTAACATGTTCCTGACGCTAGAATAGGAAACCACGGTAAACCAGTACGACGCCGGTACTGTCTGTAGGTCCTACAATGATATGGACTGCTTTGGCTGGTGAGGCGCTAGCGTCTGCCGCAGTCAGCCAAGGGAGGCCGCGACAGCTCTGGGCCATACTGGTCGTCAAGGGCTTTCGCCGACAAAGCCATGACCCATCCAAGAACACAGGCGATACCTTGATCCGAGATGGCTACGGATGTGACAGTGATCAGTGATTTTGTTCGATGACGTGGTGACGCACGGACTTGTTGTGGTAACATGTCGACGACGACGACGCGACGACGCGCGCATGTGTCCCGCATGATATTTTTTGAAAGGGATTGTGGCCCCTGGCAGGCGCGCGAACGCCGTTGAAAGAGCTTGCGAAAACAGCTCGCGCGAGCTCTATAACATAAATGTTGAAAAACCATTGGTTTTTAAGGATTCGGACAGCGCGCGCGGGTAGAAATTTTGAAAATTCGTACAGATGTTTTTCGAGAACCTACGGTGCGATTCGTATGATTTTATGTTGCGCGGTGCTAAAATCCCTAAGAAACCCAATGATTTTTGAAGATTTCGGAGTGCGC